ACTGCCCTGTCACACCTGGAGAAGAGAGACACGTATGTGAGAATGCTGTTTGTAGACTACAGCTCAGCATTCAACACCATCGTTCCCTCGAAGATGGACAGGATCTAGGACTGAGCAGCTCCCTCTGCAGCTGGATCCTTAACTTCCTGTCTGACAGACTCCAAGTGGTCAGACTAGGCAGCATCACCTCATCCCCCATCACACTGAACACTGGTGCACCACAGGGGTGTGTACTGAGCCCTCTCCTGTACTCACTCTTTCTCACAGTATCTGCGCTGCTCTAGTCCGGCATCTCCTGGTGCAGGTGTCCTGAAGCGGGGGGAGAGCAATCCTGCAGCATCGTGAGGGCACTAATGAATGTCACACAGGTAGGATGCAGTGTGAACACTGTCTCCAGGTGGAAAACAGAAAGAGTGATACACCTCCTGCTGTCAGGCCTGCAGGGTTTCTTCCTGTGATGTTCTTCTCTGTCTTGTGGTAAACAGTTTTTTTTTCTTTTCTTTTTGTTTTTTTTACTGGCAGAAAAAAATTTGTGGGGCGTCTTATTGTGACATATGATTGTTCTCTCATTTTAATTAAGCAGTATTTTAAATGGCTGTACAAAAAAAAGAACGCCGGTGCATTGGGTGCATTTTTAGATGAAGAGTTGCATATAATTTTATTATTTACAAAATGTTTACATAATCTTTTACAAATTTACAATTTATATTTGCATTTCAAGTTATGAAAAATAATTTACTAAACATGTCTGTAGTTTTTACAGTAAAAAGAAAACATAAATATTACTAGGATTTAGTTAGACTTAAGTTTGCCCAATGTTGTGTAGCTTTCTGGATTTTATACTTATTGGGTACATATTTATTTATTATACAGTACCTAAAATAAAAATTTAATTTTTTTAATGTAACTGAAATGTTTAATTATGTGGGCTATAGAAAATAATTAAGTTATAGACCACATTTATATGAAACATGTGTATACTTACTGCATATTAATCATTTTATGCATATGTAACACCTGCATATGTGTTTTAAAAAAGACTTGGATTCTGCCATCCCATTTGATTTCCATACCACCCTAGGAAAATCCGTCCCTGGACCTGTCCTGGAGCAGCAACACCAAATCAGTGACAAAAAGAGCTCAGCAGCGACTGCATTTCAAGAGACGACTGAAGAAGGTGCACATCCCCAAACCCATCTTTAACACCTTCTACAGAAGTACCATACAGAGCATCCTAACCCGCTATTTACACCTCACACTGCACTGGGAAAGCCACAAGCATCATAGCTGACCCGCATCACCTTTCCCACCAACTGTTTACCACCCCTCAATCCAGAAGACGACTCTGCGTCATCAGGAGCAGGTTGGCAAGATTGTGCTGCGCTCCCCCACACTGAACTCTCTTCTCCACACACTTCTTGGACTACATAACACTCTCCTTTCACAACCAATTCTTGCACTACCCTGTATTGTACTGATTGACTCTGTCTATTGTATTTATTCTTTGTACTATTGTATTTATTTATTCTCATTGTTTTCTGTTCTTACTCTCTCTGTATTCAAGTACAATACTGTTGTACTTACTCTTAGATTATCTTATTTCTGTATAGTTGTAAGTATGTGTGTATATTTGAATTTTCCCATTTTATTTTTACAGTTTGCACCTTTGATCCAGGACGATGATATTTTGTCGCACTGTATACTTGAGTGCATGTTGTTGGGTTGACAATAAAACTCTGCTTACCTTGAATTAAGCCCTGAGACATATGATTCACAGAATTTTAGTTTTTTAAGAAACATAGGTAAAGTCACATGAACAAAAATCCAACTTTAATCAGTTCTGGGAGAGGCCCGCTTTCGTGTTTGTTTATTTGTCAACAAACGTCTTTGAATCATAAACATTATGAAATGCTATTTTACCTGTTCCCAGGACCTCGAATGATCTTAGCTGCATTTGTTTCTTATTTTAATAACTTGATTTTCCTAATGATATGCATTTTGGTGAGGGAGAGTCACCTTTTAGTAACCGTACTTATTTTTCTTTAAGTCTTGGGACATATCATTTATAGCATTTTAGTTTTCAAAGAAACATGCATAAACATTTGAATGGTATAAACTTGACAATGGATGAGTCAGCTTTCCTCTGGACATAATGTTTAGCATACCTTCTGGTCCCCTTTCTTAATGATGGGGATCAACACCCCTTCTGCCTTTCCAAAGGTACTGCCCCTGATCACCAAGCAATATTGCAGAGGACAGCCAGGACAATCATACACCAAGTTAAAAAGGGAGCCAATAAAGGGAAGCTAATACATGAAGAATGAAGAGATGTCTCTGTCAGTACATTTTCTTTCCCCTCATAAATGCAAGAGTTTAGATAAATTCATATTAAAAGGATTAGCACAATTAAATGAGTCTATTAATATGATTTACTAACATCCATGAAAGACATTTATTACCATAACTCCTACCTCTGGGTTTTCTTATTTGACAGTAAAATTTATGAAAAGTGCAAACAAAGACCTCTTTAAAAGTCAGTTTCACTCAACAAATGAAAATACAGGTTGTCAGGTATGTTATCTATCATTAATCTTTCTATTAAACCAAGAATGGAAGAAACCAGTTTGCTGGTCATCCTGCTGCTATCAGGTCAGTAATATTAGTATCTTAATCTTTGGAGCTATAGCATAAAAATATACTGAGAGACATTTGGGTCATCAGGTTACATGTTTATGTTGTTTTGTTTTTGTCAAACAATGCATTTGATAACCCATCAAGGACAGAAACTCATTTACCTCCTCATTGTGCAATACCTCCATTCATTTTGAAATGTAAGTTTCTCATTGTATCGCACTAAGACTGATTTATTTAAAGGCTTTTTGTACTATTTCTATAATATTGTATTTATCTAATTAAATCTGGGTTTTTTGTTGTTTTTTTATTGTTCTATTAGAACACTACAATTCCACTAGTCAGTATGATTCTAGTCCCATAAAATCTTTGCAGAAATGTAATTGTATATAAGAATGAAATTTAAAAACTGTATTGTTAGTAGTCCAGGTTAACACTGCTGACTAGCAGGGTGCCAGGTGCAGTTTTGCACACATAGGGCTTGTGAAGCTTGATTAAAGCACCTTGGCTCATGAGACCTTTCTGTACTGGGTCAGTGTCTGCTGAGTGCATGGTCTGGATGTGTTTTTCTGTCACTGTTCAGTAAACAGGTAAGTCATTTCATGTTGCATAGGGCCAAAAGTAGGTGATAGTTATTGTTATTTATTTGTCTAGGGTGAATGTGTCATTGAGAATTAAATTGAGATTTGAAAAGACAGAAAAAGGGCAAAACACACACAACACATAAGGACATACCAAGTAAAATCCAAATACCATATTTCAAGCAAACAAGTACAAACATGTGAAAAATATATGATAGCATCAGGTGCGTGTCAGACACACTTATGCCAGGGAAGAGGTAGTAATAGAATAATTAACCCTCCACACAGACACAACACAAAGAGAGTGAGACAGAGACAAAAAGGTGTGGAATCAGAGGGAAGAGGGAGC